GTCTAGGCGTGTGGATCAATGCACAGAGCAGATCTTGTGTTACTATGGTGACACTCCCTAAACAAGTTTTCACCCAGGGCTTTGCCTCTGCTCCCCACCCCCAGAGCCACCAGAGTCTCGTCTCACCTCTTTCAGGCTCCTGCTCAGATACCATCTCCCCTGACAGCTCTGCCCTCCCTCCAGTCCCTGTCCTGTTTACCCTCTGCCTGGCATTGCTTACTCTATGGGTGCCTGGGACAGGGGCCACCCCAATGAATCGCTGCCCCCAGGGTAGCCGTGAAACTACAGTAATATCTTCTTTCACCGTTCTGGAGTCCAGAAGTCAGAAGTCAAGGCACCGTCGGCCAGACTCCCTTCACAGGCTCCCTGGGGCTGTCCTGTACATCTGATCACCCTAGCGCCCTGGGCTCGTAGCGTCAGGCCTCTAGCTTCAGCCTCCATCTTCACAAGGCTTCTCCGTCTGTGTCTCCTCGTTTGTGTCTTCTAAGGACACCAGCCATTGGACTGAGGGCCTGCACAGTTCATCCAGGAGGATCTCATCTTGAGATCCTTAATGATGTCTTCAAAGATTGTTTTTGCAAATAAAACTGCATTCAGTTCCTGGGGGTTGGGATGTGGCAGGTGCTTTTGGAGGTGACATTACTCAGCCCTCTACCTCCACTGCCTGACACTACACGTGTGCATTACACAAAATTTGTTTGCCCCACTAGGTGGTCAGATAGGTGAGTGCAGGATACAGTCTGCAGTGTTCAGGGCCTTTTCATGAGTGCCACATAGCAGGTGCTTGCAAATTTTTGTGAGATGAATGAAAGTGGACTCACCTCCCTAAACTGCAGTTTCTTCATTTATAAAGTGGTTCAGTCATTGCTTGTGTGCACAGATTTTTTATTATTATAATAGTTTGTTTTTACATTTTGTGCCTTTTTCCATCTCAGTTGTAATCCCCATGTACTTCCCATCACCAAATCAACCGTGTGCCATCACCATAGTCCCGGCGAAAAGCTGTTTTTAAATAAGAAGGACTGAGGATTTATGTAAGGAGCCACAACTTCAAACTAAGAGTAAAACTTCAAACTAAAAAAAAAAAAACAAAACAGCAAATGCTGTACCCTTCCTGAAAAAGAATGCTTCAATGCCAGCCTTATAATTTGCAAGTGAGGTTACCAAATCAATTTCAGGTGCCTTGGGATTGCATCAAGGCTTCCTGACAGAGGGCATTGTTGTGAGTAATGAAGTGACACCACTTTCCTACTGAGAGTGAATGGGAGTTGAAGAACATGACCTCATTGTTCAAGGTATGCAGAGCAGATATTTCAAGAAAGGCTGGATGCTTTTGGCCAAGTCCCACCCTTGACTCAACGCTCTATGACCAAACATCAGGCACACTCTGTTGCAAACATCAGAAAGTTTTCAGCAAACTGTCTTGTCTGAATTGGTTCTAGAATTCAGCAGGCTGAAGGTGGGGAAAAACTCTTGAAGAAAAAAGTATCAAAGTTGGTGATGACCATCTAATCCAAGTAAAAGTGGCAGAACTAGGGAAGGATAGTGAATACCAGTATCAATCCCAAGCATGCTTTGCTGGAAGAAAAGAGAGAATACACAAAAAAGCAACAAAACATTTAAAAAAGAATTTAGGCAATTAGATTAATAAAAATATGGAAAGAAACAAACATTAGTAAAACGACAGTCACAAACAAAATTCCTTTCCATCTGCAAAAGAGAATCAAAGATAGTCAGTGATGTTTCATAGCATGGCAGGAGAACTGTGGGGACTACAGTGAAGTAAGAACAAAGTATTTAATTTTAAAAAATAAGTAGAAAAAAGAGTATAAATGCCTGTATTTCTGAAATGTTTCCAATATTTCCTACAGAATTTTCAGTGGAATATTTATTCTGATAGCGAAGGTAAAGATGACAGCAAACAGAGTGTTTGCCCGAAGTGCATGGAAATAGCATGAAGCAGGGCACGAAATAGTCAGATGAGTGGCGACATGTGTAACAGTGAAGACATGGTACGGTACAACACTTAAGCTCAGGTTAGAAACAGATTTCCATAATCTGCTTTTTATGAGACCTATTCGGTAACCATCTTTGGGCAAGCTATGTTTTCTGATCACAACACACAAACAAAAATGTTTAAGCCTAAAAGTGCCTATTCATCTGCTCCCAGTCCCAAAGCTGGTGCTTTAACTGTTTTAGGAATGGTATTTACTGTGATAGACACTGGACAGATGCACAGAGATGACGGAAGAGCACCCCATTCACACACAGCTTAGCCTAGGGGAGAATGAAACAAGACAACTACAAAGAAGATAACCAGTGCAAAGCACATTGACTTACCCTTGGGGAAGAAGTAGTAACTCTACAAAGTAGAACTAAAACATTCTAACAAGATGGAGATGGCATTTAACAATTATAAATGTTATAATGAAGAGGTAAATCATATGCACTAACCAACCAAGCTGCATAACACAAAAAGCAAAAATTGCTGACCTCAAAGGAATAAATGGACAGAAAAGTCATTAGACTGGAGAATTTTAGACGCTTCATTATCTTCCTCTGTCAGATCACATAGTCAAAAATAATGACATGAGCAATGTATTAGAGCTAGAGACTTTGAATATCAAATACAGAAGTAGCTTGCAAGGAAGAGTTCAGCTCACTGATAATGCTTCAGATGAGGGACATGCTAGCTTTTCTAGAGCCATTAAAAAACTTATAGAAGTTGCATATAAAGTAGGCACTAAGTCTCCATAAATTAAGCACATTTAGTAGATGTGTGCAAGCTACTATTTCTGATCACAACACACAAACAAAAACCAAAGATGTTTAAGCCTCAGAGTGCCCATGCAGCTGCTCCCAATCACAGGGCTGGTGCATCAACTGTTCTCTGTGTTCCACTCCATTTTTGTTTTCATCCCAGTGTGGCATTTCACAGCATCTACTTCCCTCCTGGATGCCCTGGACATTCTCAAGCTGATCCCTGAATTCCAGCCTTGACTTCTCTGAACTGGAGCAGAGGTCACAGTGATGGCGTCTGGAAGGCTGGGGGAGAGGCATCTGTCACTCTCTGTTCAGGGCAGTCCCAGCACCCGCTGCAGACAGGAGACCTGCTGGACACTTTGGATATGCCTGAGGTTTATTGCCTATTAGACATTCTCACTGGGTCCAGGACTATTGTGAAGCCCCAGAATGCCAGTGGGAAAGGACCTGGAACATAGCTGAACCTGGTTCCTTTGTATGAATAATAAGGCTTCCACGGACCTACTGCCTCACCAGACACTGGTTACACTGTCATCTCAGACCTGCGCGACAGGACTGTGGTGTTGGCCGTGTAGATCACCCCTCTACTCCCAAGCCAGCTCCCACCTTTAGATTCTCAGTTTGCGTGTCTGCATCTGAGGCTTCCCCTTGCTCCTCTTCACTGAAGTTCTCGGCTCCATGTAGCTTCCCTTGCCTAGTGACTGCTCCCTCCCCTTCCTCCAGGCTGTGTCCTCAGGGTTGCTGACCTTGGATAACTGCACAGACCCCTCTGGCCTCTCTGCACTCTGCCCCACACTTTTGAAAACAGTTGATTTATCAAACACTCCTCAAATCACTGGGTTTCAGAGTGACATCTATTTCCTGCTGGGCCCCTAACCCACACCAGTATATAGTGTCACCCCCATTTTATAGATGAGTAAACTGAGGTGGAGGGAGGTAGAGAAAGGTGACCAAGTCACAAATTTGGAGTAGCCACCTGGGCTTCCTGGGCAGATAGATTCACCAGAGTCTGTCTTTCTGTGGCCCTGGGACTTTGGTGAAGTTGGTGGGTGGCTCCTTTTGTTCAGAGAAAGAGAAGAAAGGCAAGAGAAACTGGCATTGCCCATCAGGTTGAAGTTGCCACCTCTGGAGAAACAGCTGAGATTGGGGGCAAAAATTGCTCAAAAGGTGGCATAGTGGACATAAACAGATTACTCTAGCCCTGAGGAAACTGAGGCAGAGGAGTGATTCAGTCTCCCCAAAGCCACCTCTAGGAAGGGTGGGTCTTGTTACGGAGGCCAGGTCCCACTGAAACCCAAGCCCTCAACCTCTGGCCTGGGCACCTGGATGTGCAGAAGGAGCCACAGTGCACGTTCACCCACATACTCGAGAGCTATTGGGGGAGCCCCCCAACCCTCTGAGATGTTGATCTTGATGATATGGATGCCTCCCAGCTCTGCCCCTACAGTTCCAATCAGCACAAGCTCTGCCCCTACAGTTCCAGTCAGCACAGCTCGTGGAATCCTTCAGGTTTCCCTGTGAAGGAGGTGCTATGTGGTCAGGGCACTGGATAGGATAGTAAACTTGGGCCCTGTTCCCCCCACTGGCAAGTGCAGGAGCCTTCGCTGCAGAGGGCAGTGCCCAGAGAACATGTAGACCACACAGCTGGGCTTTCAGTGCGTAATGAGCGGAAGGAAGGCTGGCTCACCAGGCCAGAGGCTGGCCCAGAGCTGTGCCGCAGCGGTTAAGCTCTGACTCAGCTCCAGGTCCCGTGCTCCCAGCGCCTCAAGTGACCACACTTGGCTCCCCAGGAGAACCACCTGGGTGTTGTGAAAAACTCAGCTTCCTGGCTGCCCCAGAACTAGTGAGTCAGGGTAGGGAGAGGTCTGAGACTCTGCAAGCGTTTGCTCACTCACGTCGACACCGCCCCTCCCCCTTCCAGGTGATTCTCATGATCTGCAAGTTTGGAAAATGGCCCGGGAGTCGGAGGCTCCCCGGGCCGCCGCGGCCCGCAGGGCACGGGAGTCCCTGGTGAGCTCGCTGGACGGGGAGGCGCCGGGTGCGTTCGGCGCCGCCCGATGCGCGGCCCCGCCCCGGAGGCGGGGCTCACCTGCGGTGGGCAGGTAGGTAGCTACCTAGTAACCTGGGCCTGGCCCAGGAGGTTTGGGCGCGCACTTCTAGTCTCGGCACCGCCAGGAACTGAAGGCCGCAGGCAAAGGCGGCTGCCGGCTGGACCGGAGGCTGGGCGAGGGGCCTCCGTCCGGTCACCATGGTGGAGCGACGCTTCTCCAAGTTCCTGCAAAAATTCTCCTTCTCGCGCGCGAGCCACAAGTACGAGCCGCTGGAGAGGAGCGAGTTGGAAACCTTGGTGAGTCTGGATGACTGGGCACCGGGCTTTGCGAACTGACCCTCCCCCCACACACACCCCACGGCCAAAATCCCCTGAACACTCATGGGCTGTCTTCACCAGCAAGCTCTCAGCTTGCTCTGGAAAGAGCTCTGGAAAGAAGCTGCCTTCATAGCAACCGCGAGCTGCTGTTTTCTCTGTACTGAGGACTCCCCATTAAACCCTTAATAAGATAGCCCATTTTGCAGATGTGAAACTAAGGTCCAGAGGAGTTAACTGCACTCTCAAGAGACACACAACTGGCAAAGGACGGAACTTGGAACTGGGAACTTAACTTAGGTTACTCCAGGGAGTTAAAATTCCTGGTTGCCCAGACCCAGACTGCTGTATGACCTTTAAAAAGCTACTTGAATGGGGGGGGGGGGGGGGATGAGAGTTATGTAAAAAAGCAAAACCAACAAAAAACTGTTGCGCAAAGGTTTTTGCAATAACAGTAGCAATGATGGTGAAAAGCAAGCAAAAGTAACCACACCTCCCATTTGCTTTCCACAGCTGCAGTGTGGCTTTTAAAAGCCTCCCAAATTTGTGTTTGGAGTCTCCAGAGAACCCTCTGGGATAAAGACAACATGATTCTGGGGCAGGGGAGTTTTACTAGCAGAAAACCAGTTGTCAAATAAAGCCCTTCTGACTAGAAAAATACGGGGGAGGGGGACAGAAGGGGGGGGGGGACCCAACCAACCACTGTAACCTCAACTTGCTAAGTAGAACTAGCACACGAGAGTGGAGAGCATGGTGTTTCTGCTAAAGCCTCTCCCTACCACATTTACTTTGCCTTTTGAACTTAATCAGAGATTCAAAAATAAAATTCCAGAAAGAGTCTGGAAGATGCTCGTGAGAATACAGCCCCACCGTGGCCTCAGCAGGGAACCCTCAAACTTGGGTTTACTTTACATCTTTTTTAATTGACATAGCATTGGTTTATAATGTACTGGTTTCAGTTGTGGTGATATCAACATCTATCTATTCTACTTTATGCTCATCACGAGTCTAGTTTCCATTAAATTTACTTCTTGATGTAAAAGATCAGCTGAAAAACTTGACTAAAGGTAATTTTCCTCCCAAAGCCTGACAGCAGTCAATTTGGTTATATGTTATTATATATGTGCATATTTTGTTCTTTTTTAAAATGTTTATTTATGCAAACAAGAGTGGAAGTGTAGGCCAGAGGTGTGGAGGAGGTGAGGGGTTCATGAGAGACAGAGTGGGGAGCAGAACAGTTAGATGTAGGGAAACACACTGCTGAGGGGAGCAGCAGGCAAGACGGAAGGTCTCCCGTGCCCTGTGGGTCCACTCCTGGGCCAGGCTGGGGATGGAGCTCATGCTGCAGTGACTGCAGATAGCTTGATAGCGCTGTCTTTAACCCCTTGGGCCACCAGGGAAACCCTATGTGCATATTTAAATAATGATAGTATTTTATAAATAGACATTAGTCTGAGGCTTCTGGCATTACGATGGGATAGGTCACAGAACTGTGCAGCTAGCCGTTCTCAAATAACCTCATTTTCTCTGCGACATGTGTTAAATGGGCTGGGTGGTAGTTTGCTGGCTTGCTGAGATCAGTTCTCTAGCGCGGTGTGGTGCGGTGCCTGCATTATGGGAATCTGAAGGTAGTTTGCCAACATGGTTGCCTTTTCTGCATTACATTTCTTATCTTTCATTCTGTCTTGGCTTTTACAAGTTGGGTGCTTTTCAAGTGCCCCTGGTGTGTGTTGGGTTATAGTCATTTCGGAAGGATGTCCAAGTGTGCCAGGTATACAGCTGTGCCAGGTATGAGGATGATGTAACATGAATAGTGACCGACCTGGGGTGAATTTAATCTCTGCATCCAGGTTTAATTTAATTCAATCTCTCCCCCAAGTTTTTCCAAGCAGCCCTCCCCGGGACCCAGGTCTTTACTGGTCTGTCAGTATGTGGGCTCACCCACCACCTTGTGCACTTTGGAGCGCTCAGTGACACTCCACAGGTATTGTGATCACTTGGCAGTGTGGAGTGATGGCGTGACTAGTGACCCAGGCCACCAGCCACGAAGGCTGGCTGAGAAACAAAGTGTCCTGTCTTGAGCAAACCCAGGAAGTGGCCGTCCAGGTGCCATGAATGGGAAGTGTGTGGAGGGAGTCCCCGGGCGCCAGGCCACCACTTCCTGCCAGCACAGTGCCCATCCTGGCCTCCTTTGTCCCCTACTTACATCTTCAGAGTTGAGCTCTCACTCTCAAGGGAGCTTGAGCAGAAGCCGTGTTCACGCACAGCACACACAGCCACGGAGTTGAAATTCTTTGTGAGCACTGATGGCTTCCAACATCCTTGGTACCTGAAAAACTCCCAGCCCCTCTGCTGGTCACCAGTTATAGTACCAGTCATGGCTGGGGCCGCCGAGTCTCTTCACTGAAGCAGAGCTTTCTCTTTGTGATCACGGGGTAGATGGGACAGTGGCTTGGGTGGGACCACCACTGAGTGCTGCTGTACCCCTGGGGGATTGAGGGCAGACTGGCAGGGACAGGTGGTTGAGACAACACCAGAGAGGACCCTGCACGAGAAGCATCTCGCGGCTGGAAGAATCTGGATCTTGCTGTGTTTCCAGCATAATGAGAAGACAGGTGTTGGAGAGACCCTTTCATTTAATTACTGGGAAAAGGTTGCTCTCTGCTGACCTGAAGTTGGGTAAGGAGAACGTCAGACCAGAAATTCCTGCCACCTGGATGACTTGGTGCCAGCTCCAGGCAAGTTATCATCGCCCGTCAGGCTCCCATCTTTTAGCCGAGACTGGCACGCCTCCACCTCACGCCGCCTCCTGGGTGGTGACTGATTAACCTTCCCAGGACTTTGCAGGGTGAAGCCAGGTTCCAGCGGGCGTGCCCCTGTGCAAACCACAGCTGTGTGTGGAGCGAGGCTGCATGCCAAGGGGAGGACAGAGAAGATGTCCCGTCCAGGGCCAGAGATGGGCACCACAGAGCACAGTGGACAATCCCGTGATATGCATGTCCCAGCGGCCAGCGAGAGGGGCTGCTGAAGGCTCATAGGGGAAATGGGGGCGAGTGCTGGGTGAAGTGCAGAGCTGATGGAGAGTTCTGGGGGTCAGGGGGCAGGGATGTGCTGCTGGTGCTAGTGAAGGTTGAGGCTGCAGAGGTGAGCCACACAGAGCCTGTGGCCTCCGGGCAGAACTGGGGCTTTATCCCGAGAGCACTGGTCAGAGCTCAGCAGTCCTCTGCTTAGGCGCCGATGCTAGGAGTGTGCCCTCAGAGGGACGCAGGGGTGCACTTGTGTTTGCAAGAGGCCACACCCAGGATGCAGCAGCAAAAGGTGCAGGAGGTAGTTCTGAGACTTGGGTACACACACACACACCCTCACCCTGGGGTGCTGTCTCTCATACCCAGATTCTTAACAGAGGCTTACACGTACATACTTGTGTGGACACAAAACAGTCGTATTTCTCAAAATGTAGCAAAATAGGAAAGTAACCCAGCCCCCCCACCCCAATGTTATCTTAATTTATCAGTATCAGAGTGTGACTTAAATAAGTAAAGATAAAACTTGCAGTAAGCATGGCTGTGTGAGATCAAGCCCAGTTTATACTAAACGATCAAGTGCAAGGGGAACATCTCAACATGACTGGCAGTGCTCTACTGAAGCGCCGTTTGTGATGTGAACTGGTCTGTGGATGTATGATCACTTCAAAACTCATGGCTTACCCCACTTGCTAGCTCATGGTTTCTGTGGAGCAGGATTTTTTGTGGCTCAGCTTGGACAGTCCCTGGCAAGGCCTGTCTCGAGGTGGCTGAGCGGCTGCTGCCTGGGCCACGGTCTCATCAGAAGCTCGCTGGGCAGGAGGGGGTGATCCACTCCCAGCCTCACCCACTCTCGTGGTGCAGGCCTCTGATGCTGGGAATAGGGGGCCTTTCCCCGGGGGCAGCCTCAAGGCTCCCCAAGGGTGAACAGTCCAGAGAGATTGACGGAACACCCATGACGGCCTGGCAGCCACAGGTGTTTGCTAAATCGGTGTTGGGAGAGAGCGCTCACTGCTCCTGCTGTGTTCTGGCCATCAGATGCGAGTGTGGATGGGCCTGCACGTGGGGCTGAAGGCGGGATGCAGGATGATGGGCACCGGGTTGGAGGCTGTGTACCACGTGGTGGAAGAAATACTTCCTTAAAAAAGATCATTCACAGAAAAACCAGAGCCGCATCTGCATAGGCTGTTTGTGTTAAAGCGGCTCAGCCGGGACCTCTAGTCCTTGGATTGAATTTTGATTTGGGCCATGTTCCTGGGATGATGTCTGACAACATGTATCTGGGCATTTCAATATGTTCAGAATCTGGGTGGGACCCCAGTGCCAGTCAGCAGTCTGTGCTGGTTTTCAAGGCCCCCTGGGTCAATGTCCAGCCAGCCCGGGCTGTTGACTACAGGTGAGCAGTGGGTGTGCTGATGGCCTGTGTCCACATGCTGCTCACCCTCACACGGCCCCCTAGCAGCCCAGGCGCTCGACGTGGCGTGTGTCAGGGACTGTGGTCACAGAGGCAGGTGTGGGCACTGGTGCCTCAGCACTGTACGGTCTCGGGAATCAACCACCCAGAAGAATCTCAGGCTCAAGATGAAGAGGGTCAATAGGGTGGCAGACAAGCATCAGACCCCACGCAAGACCCCCGGTGACTGTGGACCGACCCCCTTCAACTACATTGGTCTCCAGCCCTGTGGGAGAGAAAGAGCAGTGACGTTTGCTTCTGAAGTATCAGTGGTTCTTTGGAGCTGTCCCCTGGTCGGCCAGGGCCTGTGGATAGTCCAGAGGCCTGGACGCCTGAGGCTTCCTGTTTCCAAGTACCTGGGTAACCGTGATAAGAATAGGAGCACGTGGGGGAGTGCTGGCTGCAGGGAAGATGTCCAGGATGGAAAGGCGTGGTGGGGCTGTGGCGAGACTGCCTGCCCTCTCGTGGCCGAGGTGGGGTCTGGGCTACAGTGGGCAGCCTGGCCT